TTTGTAATTGAGAAAATGCTGAATCATGCCCTTCTAAATCAAATACCACATTGACTACTAGTTCTTCTGACCCGTTCTCGCTTGTCAAAGAGTCCGTTGACTCTTGCTTGCTTGTCAAACGTTTCAACACTAGTTCCTCTGACCCTTGCTCGCTTCTTAAATGACCCAATTCTAATTTCTCTATATTTGGTAACCATGAAATGCAATTTGAAGGAAATAGTGCCTTACAACTTGCTCCCACTTGTGCCACTTTTGATTTAGATGAGGTTGACCCAACAACTTGATTGTCATTTCTGGTCTCTTTCACCTTGTTCACACTTTCTTCGTTGGGCTTTAGAATCTGTACATTAATTAATTCTACATAAATAATGAACTTACACATGAGCCAAAAAGAAAGAAATACATAAGTAATGAACTTCCACAATTTGTCTTATTTCCAAATTGCCTTAATTATATTCCCACATCCTCTGTCATAAATTTTGAGAAATAATAATAATCCCCTTTTCCTACCCTCAATTACTATTTACCAATAAACATTTTTAACTCTAAGGACATCTCAACCTTAATTTTCAAATGAAAATCATAGGTGTGAAGATTTAGAAATATAATCCCCTTCTATTAAGGGACATTCTAAACACACTACAAATTGGTTTTCAATTATCCAAACTGCCTATTTCTCAAGTCTATATTCATAGATTATACTTACAAAAAATTAGACAATTCGGAAACCATTTCGATATCTAATTATGTTCTACAAAATTGATGAATACGATGCTTCAAGAAAGTACTAAAATCACAATAATTTAATTGAGCGGTCAAATGATATATGATTCAAGTGATTTTTTCAGAGATAATTTTTTATTAAATATCTATAAAATAGTTGCAAAAAATTGAAATCCATCAAAAATCTCCAACATACCAAAAATGATTAAGTTCTACCCAAATCAACTTCTAGAACTGGAACGACAGTATTAAACACAACAAAAGTAGCATATTCAAAAGAGTAACAAGTATATACCATTCAAGCATCAAAAGTGCATACATACATACCTCATAGGTGGAGTCCCGTTGGTTTCCCGTGTAGAAACCATGGAGCTTTAGTAGAGAATGAAGCTTCAAAAAAGTTAATCTTGGGAAACTTATCCTGTGAGATGCATTATCATCTTCCATTCTCTCCTTTGATATGATCTCTTCCACTTTCCAACAGCGATCAACACTTAAGCTTTGGAGTTGTACCAAGTTTTGTGCTATGGATACTGAAAATACATATTTTAACTCATCACAATTGTTAATTGCTATGGATCTTAGGTTCATAAAGGAGCGCTTGTCTAGCAGTTTGCCACAACACACAACTTTTAGTTCGTAAACATTCTTGAAGGTAACTGACTTTAAGATGGGGAAGGCGGGTTGACGACGACAAGTCCAATCTGTTCCATTCATAAGATACTCTATGTTGTCGTCATCCATGATTGATAACACTTTCAAGTGTTGAAAGCCCCCTTCATCATCTAACTCGATGACATACTTTAAATTCCATGTGTAGTGTAGGCTTAAGTCTTCAGATTGCTTCAAGAAGTATCTAACTGCTCCAATCTCCAAATATTCCTTTACATCACCACGAAGCATCAAACTATTTTCGAACAGATACGCAGGCATTCGATTCTCGAAACTCTCTTCTTTGCTGGCTTTTTAAAAGAAACTTATCATTCCGCAACATCTGAACATCATGGATTTTTATGGCTAAGACATTTAAATGATCAGATAGAGACATCACCTCATCAAGGCTTGCCATACTCGTTTCATCCTTGCTTCCTGTTGCTGGCCCCCAATTGAGAAAGCTTTCTGCCATGTACAACTCTTCTAATCTCCTCAAGTTGGATAAGACACCGTGAGGAATTTCTTCAAGTCCATCACAATCTGTTGCATCTAGCATCCTTAACTTATGAAGATGTCCTATTTCTCTAGGCAACTTATTGATTTGAGAGCGGGCAAAGCTGAGGATCTCCAAATTCTCCAATCCTCCAATAACATGGGATATGTCTCCCAAATTGCAATCCTCTAGACACAAGGTATGAAGGTACTTGGGTTCTCCAAGCAGTAGAGATTTTTCCGAGGCCAAATAGCTTGACATATTCACCTCTAAGAAAGATAAAACCTTGAGTTCTTTCATTCTTTTAAAGTGGTTGGAATATTCTGAACTACTTGAGGAATTTTTCAGTTGCAGAAGCTCAAGTTTGGGGCACTCCAAACCATCAGTAATATTTTCATCCAATTTAACATCAATTAATGAAATTGCACTGCAATGTTCTTGGTTTGTTGCTTTTTGTACTCCCGGCCATCCTCCACCTCCACCTTCTGCATCGAATGATCTTACCATAAATCTGTGAGGATCTTTTGAGGCAATTGATATAGCAACATCACGAACTATATCATGCATTTTGATACATTCTTCCTTTTCACTATCCAGCAACAAAAACCTTCTTTTTAGTTGTCCAACAAAAAAGTGCACTCTCTTTCTTGCTTTTTCAATCGTATTGACGTTTTCAAAAATTGCTCGACCCAACCCATACCTTACCATATACTCAATCGGAACATCATAATCTTCTGGAAATAAGCAACAAAGTAAAAAGCATGACTTGACTTCATCACTGTCCAATTTATCGTAACTTAGTTTTATGCAAGAATAAACACTGTGTTCCATTCCAGGGATGATTTCTGGGAGAGAATTTTTCAGTTGGTCACGGATAGTATCCCATTCATTCTTGTCAATTGAGACTAGTGTTTTCCCGATGGTTATGATGGCAATGGGTAAACCTTTGCATTCATCTGCAATCATTTTTGCAACATGAAGCAAATGAGGATTATTATTGTCCAAGGATTCACCTACAGTCGCCTTGAAAAGCTCCCATGCTTCTTCTTTATTTAAGGCTTGGACTCTAAAAATGTTGTCTTTGCACCCCATTGTTTTACAAACTTCTTCATTTCGAGATGTCAACAAAATTTTGCACCCTTCATGATCACCAAAAGGGATTCCTACATCCTGTAATTTAACCGCTGACCATACATCATCCAATATAATCAGGATTCTTTTACTCTGCTTGATTCTCTCATGTAGCCTTTGTGCTCTTATAGATTCACTTTCCTCTACCAATTTCATATCTAGTGACTCTGCAATTTCAGTTTGAATTGTCCTAATGTTTACAGTTGCGGATACAGTTGACATCACAACATCATCAAACAGCTTATTTGTTCCTTGTAATCTCTTGATCATTTCTCTGATTTCTCTCACCATTGTGGTTTTACCCACACCTCCCATCCCGCAAATCCCAATTATTCTTGTCTTTTCATTCCTCAAAGCACTAAGCGCATCATTCATGACATCTTCTCTGGATTCAAAACCCTTAAAACCTTCACTAGAGATTATTGACCCCAGTTGTTTCAGAGGTACAGGATTGGCAACATTATTACTTAGTCCTTCGTCTAGTTTGAGATCAAGGGCACATTTAGCAATCTTCTTGGCTTTCCTACTTAGAGAATACCGCGATTTCAAACTTGGGCACCGCCTTTGCATGTTGAGTTTGGTTTGAAGTTCTTCCGCTTCACGAAATATTTTGCTTACATTATCCAGCCAACTCTGAACTTGATCTTTAATGGTTGCACCATTCCTTTTTGCAGCATCCACAGATCTTTGCACATCATTTTTCTTGTCAACAAGGTTTTTAAGCACATCCTTTAGACTTTCTATGTTAGAATCGTAGTATATTATATAGCTGAGTTGTCTCCCAATTAGTGCCACTGGTTCTTCTACAATTTTAGATGCAATTGAAATGCAAATTTCTTCCATTTTCTGTTGCCTTTTTATATAAAGCAGCCAGAGACTAAGGAAATTCTCAAACCAAATGCAAGCAGTTCAACACCTACAATTTTAATTATAATCAAAAACCAATCAAAAACCCAAACAAACAAATCTCGTAGCAATTCTAACTCATAATCTATAAAAACTCTTCCTCCTCCTCCACTAAAAAACTTCTCAAGACACCCAACCATCACAGCCCCCAACCAAAATATATTATAACTTATAATTTAACGTATAGATTTCATTTGGCAATTGTTTCTAGAGGATTCGACTGAAGAGTGATTCGATGCCTCTGTCCTATTTGTTCCTTTTGTTGAAATTTTTTATTTTATTCTTTCATTTCGATGAATTTGGGTTTGATAGCTGGCTGTAGAGGGGATGGGATCTGCTGTCTGCAAATTTGGTGTCCCTCCATGTCCACATGTCCACTCACTTAACCAAAAATTTAACAGTGTTAACTTTGAATAAGGATTTAAAAAATTAAAATTTAAATAAAAAAACATAAATCCAACAGCCACCCCACCCCACCTTACCCGGCCGCAGCAACACCCATCATCTCGTTGATTTGATCTTAAAATTAAACAAAAAATTTCTTTCTAAACTAAACTTTAGTTTTTATTTCAATCACAGCAGGTTCGAAACGATGATTACGAGCGACGAGGGGTGTTTGGGTGGTCTTAGGATTTTATTTAATTTATTTATTGTTTAATTTTTACTTTTGAATTAAAGTTTACATAGTTAGATTTGAGGTTAAATAATGGAACATGTGTCAAATAAATCGAGAATGGAACCAAATTTGGTGACTCCAGATAAGCTCCTGGGTAGAAATCATATACATCCATCATCTCAGATTAGCTAAGGAGTGGGACACTAGTAGGAAATATTTTTGATCACCACTTTAATCAAATATGTATTCTCAACACTTGACACGTGTCTATAGACTTAATTATAGTTAACTTCTGTTTTGTATTTATGAAATCATGGTTATGCCTATAAACACATGTCAAGTGTTGAAAATGATGGTGATGATACACTTTGGATTAAAGTGATGAGTAAAAATACTTCAAACACTGGTATCTGCAACTCCAAAAAGAGAGAGAGAGAGAGAGAGAGAGAGAGAGAGAAGACATGTCACCAGGGAGTGCGAGGGGGTGGGTACTAGGTGGGGGATGCTAAGGGGTTAGGTATAAGAATCAAGTTTTGGGAGTTTTTATTTTTTATTTTTTTATTTTTAAAATTTTTTTAAGGATCTTTCCTATTCAGAGGGGCAATAGTATACTAAACTCAAACACACTATACGGATGCTAAGAGTCGAACCCAAGACTTTACTTGAGGGAGTAAATACTCCAAACCACTACACTAGTGGGTTCTTTTTTTAATTTTTAATTTTAAGCGTTAACCTTTTTGCTTACTTTAAAATTATTTTATTAATATTTATGTAGAAAGGTTAGAACGGACATTTCACTTGTTAAAAACCCAGTCAACTACTAGTTTTCATCAAAATTAACTAACAAAAGGGATGTGATTGTAATAAATGAGACATGTAGGATCTGACTGTAATTATACCAAACTTTAGGGGAATCTAAGTGAAATTCTCCCCGTTTTAAAATGACCCTAGCTAACAAATCTTGTTAGCAGCTCACATCTTTTTATCTTATACAATCTTATACCTTTCGTTTGTTTCTTTAAAGTTTGGTCTTATACAATCTTATAATTAAATGGAAACATGTTCCAATTATTATATATATATATATATATATATATACATTTTTATTTGCCAAGAATTCCAATTATTATATTGGTGTACTTTAAAATCTTCATTGATTTTCTTTCCTCACGGGACGACTAATCCTTTAGGGATATTCTTTTTATAGCATGTTATACTAAATTATCATTCCTATTTGCATTTGGTTTATTACTTTTCAATATTTCATGACCTCGGACTAAATTTGAGCTTAAACTCGCTTAAAAAAATGAGTTCAATCGAGCCAATTATAAGCACTTGATCAGTAGATGCTTAGTCAAGCCGAGCTCAAAGGGGCACCTATAAAATTGTTCCACTATATATTGTGTGGGAAATATCCCATAAAACCTAATCATTTTATGTAATCTTTTATGGATATTACCTATATTTCTTAGTAATTAAATTAAATTAATGGCAAGATCATTATTGATAAAAATATTCCTATCAATAATTATATGCTTAAACAATAGTTCAATGAATATGAAATAGAGAGAAAGTAAAAAAGTTAATATTGGATTCATGAGGCCTTCTCATTCTCATAGTCAATATAGTTCATAGCCATACAATTGTTAACTGAGTATTGATAGTCCATAAAAACAGGGGCATCTTATGTTTAGTTAATTAGAAGGATTACTGTTGTTTAGTCATTCATGTACAGATACTAAGAAAAGTATGTGTATGCTCGATATAGGGTGAATTTACTAAATGTGATCAATCAATAGTTCTTTTTGTGAAAGTTGTACTTATATGTCAAACAAGAATATTAAATCGCAATAATGCATACTAGTCCTTAAATCTTAGGCACCCTATTTGTCTTATGAGTATGTTGTGTATTATTGGTTTCGTGATTAATCCATACAGGTATGTGAGTGTACAACAAGGCATGCAAAACAACCTAAAGCCACCAAGGGTCAACTCCCTTGCTTGTTTTTAAAGAAGAACTTAAAAATAAGAAAAAATATTTTAAAAACAAACAAAACCCTTTTTTTTTTTTCCTCTCTATCTTCTAAAGGGACATCACCCACCTTGAGGCACCCCTACCCCAAGCTAGGCGACCATACCAAACACCCCCTCCCCCAATCTAACTTCCAGTCACGGCCCCCCACCCTCTATCTTACCGTCGTCTCCCCCATATCCCATCTCACCTAGGGCTGGAATTTTAGATCGATAGACCATCCAAACTGACCAAACCAAACCTGTTGGTTCAGGTTTTTTCACTTAATTTGTGGTTTCAGTCAACAAATCGAAAGA